TTTCTCCTTTTATGTTCAGTCACCTACTCCTCTCCCTTATTTGTCCTCTTCTCTCTAGCCCCTCTTCTACCATCTCCAGTTATACCAATGCTCCACAAAGTCTTCTGATCACATGCCATTAATATCTAAAAAATTGAGCATGCATCCCAATATTTGTTTATAAATAAAATGCTTGTGACTATATGAGACATTATGTATATTATGAAACATGCAAAGAAATAGAACTAAGAAAGATGAGATAGATCTAAATAGAAATACTAATATTTTCTTCCTCTGCTGCAGTGCATTTTGTACATGCCCTAGGTGTGTGTATCTCACTTTGAAGGCACAAGTTTAGGACATCAGGATCTCTCATCTAGGCAGTGGCCCCAATCAGCCATTGAAAAAAATTCCAAGTTCGTTAGCACAGTATCAAGTTCCCTCATGATCTGGGCCCTGCCTACCTTTCCTGACTCATCTCTTACCACCCTCCCAGTGACAGTTTATGTTGCAACAGTCCCAACCACTTTCTGCTCCTTACTCATACTGTGCTGCTCCATGCTTTCACACCTATGCATCTGCTGTTCCTCGTCCTTGAAGTAGAATGTCTCCTCCCAGTAAAGTCTTATTTTCAGTTTAAAACCTTGCTCTGGGATCAGCTCCTTTACATTCATTGAAGTAGTGAATCATTCCTAACCTTTACAGAGAGAATTAATTACTTCTTCCCCTCTGTTCCATGTCCATGTATGCACACTATTTTATCGCCCAGATGTTACATAGTATTGTTTGCATTTACTTACTTTGTTTCTTATTTTTCAGCGCAAGCTTCTGGAGATTACAGGCAATGCCTTGTGTATCTCTATATCCTTGGCATCTGGCACAGATGACTTGAGCCAAGGTGGCTTGAGGCCGGGGAATATCATAGCTTATCCATATTACTCATTGTAATGCCTTTCTCTAAATACTGTGCCTTGTATGTCAGAAATGTAAGTACTCTAGGGCTGGCCTGTGACTCATTTGGGAGAGTGTAGTGCTAACACTAAGGCCACAGGTTCGGATCCCTATATAGGGATGGCTGGTTAGTTCATTTTGGAGAGCGTGGTGCTGACATCACCAAGTCAAGGGTTAAGATCCCCTTACCAGTCATCTTAAAAAAAAAAAAGAAAGAAAAATGTAAATACTCATTGAATAAATTAAGCTGATGGATGGATAGATGAATAGATGTATAGGTGACTGGATGAATAAAAAGACAAAGGGAAGGCATGAAAGTTGTTTGAGATTAAGAACAGTCATGTGGCGGGGGAAATATGCTTTTTCCAGGGTGCTCCAGAGGGCAAAACCACGTTCAAATAATATAAGGAACAAGGAAGCACATTTTAACTTAACCTAAGGGGAAACATTCTCATCATTAAACTTTATAAATGGCACAGGGTGTTTAGAAATAGTAAGCTTCTGCTTAACAAAGATTTTTTGAAAAATTGTACATTCATTTGACAAGGTTGCTGAGAAAGGATATCGTATGGCTTATAATAACTACATAATTGAGCCTCTGCCCACCTTTCTGAACCTTCCCAGTTCCCTCCAGCCACACTGGCTTCTTGCTCTTCCTAAAACATGACAAACCCATTGCCTCCACTGGGCCTGAATTTCTGATGCTTCCTCTGCCTGGAATGTTCTACCTCCAGATTTTTTCATGGTTTTCCTTCTTATCAGCAGGTCTCTGCTTGAGTGTAACTTCCACAGAAAGGGCTCTTTTGATCATTCCATCTATACCAGTCTGCTCCCCAGCTCCCCACATTCTTACCCTCTCCACTTAATTTGCTTAATGTTCTGCACAGAATTTATCAATACCTGAAATTATAAATTTTGTTTACTTACTACCTGTCTTCTCTGTTATAGTGTATGTTCCAAGATGAAACAGATCTTGCCTGTTATATTTACTGCTGTGTCCTTATACCTAAAACAGTTTCTAGCACCATAGGAGGTGCCAAGAAAATGTTTGTTGAATGCATAATTTTCTATAATAACTGATTAATAACCAACTGGTTAGTTGGTTGTTCTCAGCACTGAATCTTGACAAACTTGTAAATGGTTTGATTTGGTGGCTCTAACAAACTTTTCCCAATTTGGTTGAAAATGAATCCCTTCCCCTCATCAAGTCTCAGGTATTACTCCATCCCAAAAATCAACTTTACAAAACAATTGTTGCATGATGGTACTTGAATGGGCCCTGAAAATACCCTGCCAATACCCAAATATCTCACTTTCTAATGTCTGAGTGCTTGAAATTGTACCTTTAGAGATTCATTTCCTTGCATCTTCAAAAATTTTAGTCTTAATATCCTTTAATAAATTGTTGGATTGGAGGTAATGGAGATAATCAGTTTAATTGCAAGATTTTAAATTTAGATAAAAATGCCCCTATTTAGAGGAAGACTTGATAATATCTAGGAAATTTCGGAAAGGGACAAATGTTTTGGAAGGTGCTATGGGTTGAATGTGGCCCCCAAACGTTCATGTGTTGGAAACTTAATTCCCACTGTAACAGGGTTAAGATGGTGGGAAATCCTTTTATGGAAATTGAAAGGTGGGGCCTTGAAGAGGTGATTAAATTGTGAAGATTATACCCTTGTGAATGGATTGATAGGTTCATGGAGTAATATGCTGATGATTTAATGGGTGGTAATGGGTGTGGTTCTGATGGCTTTAAAAGGAGAACAAGTGAGGAGGTTACCTCTCTTGCTCAGCCATTTGCCATGTGCTATCCTGCATTTCTGTGGATAGTCACCACCAAGAACAAGGCCCTCACCAGGTGCATCCCCTGGACCTTGGATTTCCCAGCCTCCAAACTGTAAGAAATAAATACTATTTCTGTATAAATTACCCAGTTTCAGGTATTCTATCATAAGCAACAGGAAACAAACTAATACAAGAGGCAGGTAGAAAAGCACTGAGTCCTCAGTTCTGAATAGGGTAGTCTGGATCTTTTCTATCAAGTCCAGCTTGTAGAAAATTATATGATAAAATGCCTTCAATTAAGATGTAAATAACTGGGCCGGCCTGTGGCTCACTCGGTAGAGTGCGGTGCTGCTAAGACCAAGGCCACGGGTTCGGATCAGATATAGGGATGGCCGGTTCGCTCACTGGCTGAGCGTGGTGCTGACAACACCAAGTCGCGGGTTAAGATCCCCTTCCCGTTCATTTTTAAAAAAAAAAAAAAAGATGTAAATAACTGAGCCGGCCTGTGGCTCACTCGGTAGAGTGCGGTGCTGCTAAGACCAAGGCCACGGGTTCGGATCAGATATAGGGATGGCCGGTTCGCTCACTGGCTGAGCGTGGTGCTGACAACACCAAGTCGCGGGTTAAGATCCCCTTCCCGTTCATTTTTAAAAAAAAAAAAAAAGATGTAAATAACTGAGCCGGCCTGTGGCTCACTCGGTAGAGTGCGGTGCTGCTAAGACCAAGGCCACGGGTTCGGATCAGATATAGGGATGGCCGGTTCGCTCACTGGCTGAGCGTGGTGCTGACAACACCAAGTCGCGGGTTAAGATCCCCTTCCCGTTCATTTTTAAAAAAAAAAAAAAAAAGATGTAAATATCTAATTAAGCAAATCAGTGGCCTGTTACCCTATCTAGAAGCAGTTGAAAGTTTACATACATTTTAAGGGGCAGGGAGCCCTGCCTTGTATCATTGAAATCATGTCTTAGAATCCCATCGTCCATCTCTGCTATAAGAAAGGGTGTGAATGCTACTTTGTAATAAAACAAATGCTTAGCAAATAGCAGGTGCTGTTTTTGACACTCATTTGGATCAATGGACAGTAATAACTGGAATAAGTGAAGGTGACTTAAATCAGCATGTTGGCTCACAGGAGGGTTATTAAATCCAGCTTCAGAGTTTGGAAAAAGCCTTTCAAAGAGATGTATCAATGCAAGGCAGATTGATCCAAGCCAGTGCAAGGCACGGGGTCAAAAGCCACAGGGTCTGGAGAATCTATATTTTTAAAAGGTTACCAGATCGAATCTGAAACACAACACGTTTTAAACAGGACACGCAGATAGAACAGCAAGAGTAAGGGCTCAGAAGTAGGGCTGAGTGCAGGTGGGAAGAGTTGAGAGAGAGCTGTTGGAATTACGCCTGGAAGGACAGATTTGGGAGAGGGCCTAACATAAAACCAACTCATCTTTGAGTCAATTTAAGCCTAAAATCATAAGGTAAGTGGTTAGCCCAAACAGCGTTGCAAAAGTGGATTTAGTACCAGGTCTCCAGTTATGCCGGTAGCCTAGACCATGCCTACGTAGCAGCTAGACCGTGCAGTTTCTTGAAATATCTGAAGGATGAAATTTTTGATGGAAGTCTGTCTTAGTCACTAGTGGCTAGATGGCCACTTCTAAATCATGCTGGTGCTGGATCTGCTAAACTCTACAGGATTACTTTATTTTTGGCCTCAGAAATATGGTGAGCATTTTCTCTCCACAAGGATTCACTAACACACGACTTAATACACTGCTTTCAGAGGTCTGTAAGCATCACGTTGGAACAGGCTTCCCAACCCGAGGGTTCGGATCCCACATACAGACCGGTTCCCGCTCACTGGCTGAGCGAGGCGCGGGAGCGACACCGAGGGTTGCAGTCCCGTTGCCGGTCCCCGGTCCGGTGCGGGGGCGACACTGAGGGTTGCGATCCGTTGCCGGACACGGAAAAAAAGACAAAAAAATAAATAAATAAAAAATAAAATAAAATAAAATTCTCATTGGGTGCGGTGACGTCACCCAATGAGTTCAGGAGGGAGGTGCGTCCCTGACCACACCCCCTGCACCCGAAGCCCCGCCCCTTGGCGTTTTCCTCCCTTTCCTTTTTTCCGGTGCGTCGTAACGTAAGAGGTGGGTCACGCAATATTAGCACCTGATACCGGAAACAAAACCCGAAGGGGTGGAGAAGAAGGCGGGCCCGCGTCCGGTCGGCCATTAGGGGGCGTGGCGTGGCGGGGCCGGGCATGGTAACGGCTCGGAAGCTGAGGGGGCTGGGCCGGAGGGAGGCGGAGGAAACGGTGTCCGCCGCCGCCGCCGCTCCCGCTGCAGATTGTTCCGTGTGGTGCCCTCAGGCCCTTCCTCGGCCATGATGATCCACGGTTTCCAGAGCAGCCACCAGGACTTCTCCTTCGGGCCCTGGAAGCTGACGGCGGCCAAGACCCACATCATGAAGTCAGCGGATGTGGAGAGGTGAGGCCCCGGAGCGCGGGGTCCGGGCGCGGGCCGGGTTGCAGGGCCAAGGCGGGAGGCTGGGCGAACTCCGTGCGGCCCCTCCCCTTTCCCCTGTGGCGGAAGCTCAGTCAAAGCTCAGACCTTTGCTTGACAGCCTTAGTAAATAATGCCATCACCATCTCTCCACCTTTGGTCGAGATTCGCCAGGCGCTGCCTTCGTGAAACTGTCACTCCGCCTGGCTTTGGGTAGAGCGTGACTGTTGTGGTGGACTTTCCCCTCGCTAAACATCTCTTCCTGCCCCAGCCTGCGCCACCTTTCTTTCTGGGTGGCTGTGACTTGTTTTCTTGGGGGCCGACGGGGTGATACATATGTTCATGTTTTAGCTTGTCAGGTGCTGAGCCAGGCACTTGAGATACGGTACATGAAAGACAACCTGCGCCTCAGGGAATCAGTCTCGTGAAAGAGATGGGTGGACGTTTATATTACAGTGTGGATAACTATTTATGATGAACACATGTACACGGGGTGATTTGAGAACTTTTAGGGGAGACAGCACATCCGGGAAATTGGGATGCCCGAACTGAATCTTTAATAAAGTCTGGGTGGTGGGTGCATGTGTAAAGCCAGCAGGCTAGGAAGAGTGAGATGTGATGCGTTGTGATGCCTGAACTGAATCTTGACAGAATTTGGGGGCTGGGCTGGTCGGGGGATGCGGGTAAGGCTGGAAGGTCGGGGAGAGTGAGAGCTGTGATGTATTCGAAGAACTGCTGCTGTCTTGTGATTGGAGCATGAGGTACCAGAGGAGGAGGAGTGAGAAATGAGGGGCGAGCCCCAGGAGAGTCGAGATACTGAGGGGATTTTTATTCTAGGCTAAGGAATTTTGAGTTTTATCTGACAATCGCTGAGTGCAATGCTATCCCGTGGAGCTACATTATCAGATATACACTCTGGAAAAATTACTTTGGATGTGGAAGATGGATTGGAGGGCTAGAGGGCTGACAAGAAGACCAGTTAGGAAGGGAGAGAGGAAAGGAGAGGTTTTAGAAGATTAAGTCCCCGGGTTTGGGGGCGAATTGATAGGAGAAAGAAAAAGGAAGAATATATATATATATATATATATATATATTTTAAAGATGACCAGTAAGGGGATCTTAACCCTTGACTTGGTGTTTTCAGCACCACGCTCAGCCAGTGAGCAAACCGGCCATCCCTATATAGGATCTGAACCCGTGGCCTTGGTGTTATCAGCACCGCACTCTACCAAGTGAGCCACGGGCCGGCCTGGAAGAATCTATATTGATGGCACAATTGATTTCTGGCTGGGGCTGTTGTATGTATAGCATTGCCAATGAACAAGGTGAGAAGCAGAGAAGGAGGAGAAGATTGGGGGCTGGGCGTTGGATAGAGTATGAGTTTAGTTTGTTGAAATATGAGGTGTGTGTGGGCCATAAAGTGGAGATGTTCAGTAAGCATTTGGATATATTTACCTTGGAGCTCAAAAAAGATGACATCTGTGGGTTTAGGTTTAGGAATCATCAGGTTATAGTTGGTACCTGGAGCCTTGGGAGTGAATTAAGATCATATAGAAGTCATCCAGAAAAAAAAGAAAAGGTCATAAGATAGAACCCTAGGGAGGACTTGGATTTTAAGATTCAGGCAGAGGGAGTGACCAGGGAAGAGTGGAGAGTCATGAAAGGGTGTTAAGCTCCATAATTTAAATAAATAAATCATAAATTAAACCTAAATAGTTTAATTTAGTCACACAGGATTTTTTTTTTTTTTAAAAAGATGACTGGTAAGGGGATCTTAACCCTTGACTTGGTGTTGTCAGCACCACACTCTCCCAAGTGAGCTAACCAGCCATCCCTATATGGGATCTGAACTCGTGGCCCTGGCGTTGTCAGCACCACACTCCCCTGAGTGAGCCATGGGCTGGCCCCATTCACACAGGACTTTTTGCTTATTTGTTTTTAATATTAATTTGCACAGACCTGTTTGATGTGTCTAATTGGAAATAAATTTAAAGCGATTAGAAAGAGGGTAATTGTGGACTTGGGATATACATGGATCCTTTGTTGACGTTATATAAGAATATATTCTTCAATGTAGTATTATTTTACCTTACCTAACAATTATAGCTGTTCAAAAATTCGGAAGTCTTAAAAAAGAAAAAGGAAAAGAAAGGCTTCTGGTCTCTGGAGTAGCTGTCATAGAGCACTTATACTAAAATTCTGTGCTTTATTCAGCATCTCTTAGAACTTCACTCAGAACATAAACTTTTGACTTTATTGTACTTTATAAATTCATATTGGAAGTGTAAGGAAGAAGTTCTCGATAGTCCCTTTGCCCTAATAAGTGAATTCTTATTTTTCATATTCTCTTTCTATTCATTATGTAATTTTAAGAAGTGTACTTGTTTGGTTTTCCACCCTGTAATAGATTAGAAGCCAAATGAAAAGAATTGAGGGTGCTTCGGGGGCATTCCAGAGCTAGAGGCACACACACTTAATTGAACTTGAGGACATTGTCTTACATAATTTTTAAGTGTGATGGTCTCTGATCATCAAGAAAAGGTAAAATAGCATTTTGTATTTTTTGCTTAAGAACACAGAAAAGTCAGAAGCTTAAATTGGATAATTTTAAAGCAACCATATCAGAATCCATATGTATATCTGTAGTCATATAAATGCAATAGTTTATTTGCAGAATTCCTTTTTACCACTACCAACAACTTCCCCATCCAGGTGAGGAAACTAGACAAATCCTGTGTGTTTTAATTAGCCAAGCAAGACTTAGTTAAACAGACATTTGAAGATTCCTCTAATAAGTCATTCCTTTACAAAATGTTGAAATCCCTCTGCTGTATTGACTAAAGTTCATGATTCATGGAATACCTTGGCTTATATAAACTTAATCAGATGGTTAGAGGTGTTGGGCACTTTAGGATATGCGGGCATAATTGGGTGAACAAATTTTTGTAATCTAAGCTATTGATGATTTTTCTTTACTTCAACTCATTCCTTCCATGTAGGCTCAGTCTTTTTAGTATTTGGGTTACTGGTTCAGCAGAAGCCAGGACAACAGTAACTTCATAGTAATTAGAATGTTATCCAACTGTATATTGTTTACTTTATTGTAAGTACTGGAGAACAGATCAATAAATAGTTTCATATGCCTTAAAAAAAAAAAGACAGAAAAGTCTGTAAAACATTTTGAAAAGTTTCCAAAGTCTATAAAATAAATTTGGTACATAAGGTAACTGGAAAATAAACTTGCATGGAAACTTCTGTGTTAGTTATGCTTTCAGGTTCCAAGGAATGGAGACCCAGGTTGCCTGAAGTAAAGAGAATTAAATACTACATGAAGAAATAATTAAACATAGGAAAAATCTCAGAAATGGAGCAGCAGATTTTGTGGACTCCAAAACCATAGACGTCTCTTCTTGTTACTGTTATTTCTCAGTCTTTCCTTTGCTGTCTGCTTCCCTTATTGTTACTGAACAGCTTTACTCTTCCCTCCTCTCTGCTTCATGGCTTCTGTTTTATGCTATGTTTGTTGACTTGTGCTTCATTTGTCTGTCCTTCAGATTTCTGAAAAGAGAATCGTAATGAATTAATTGGTCATTATTCAATTCAGAATAATCATGTTAGGCAGAGTTACCAGGCTAAGATTCGGGGATTCTGGCTAGCCCGTAGATAATTGCCTTTGGTTGAGATGCTAAATTTTCAACCCTAAATTGAAAGTCCTATTGTGACCAAGATGATGGGGTCATAAAGCATGGCAGTTTATACATATAACTACTTTTTTTAGAAGTGAGTAACTAGCTACCACTTAAAAAACTTTGTAACAGGGCTTATAAACTCAACATTCTAAAGGGCCGAGGGGACTGATGAACTGGTGAGCCCATGCCCCACTTAAGAGGGGGTAACCTCTACTGAACTCCAGCCAATGTGTGTCATGTGGCAGTGCAGGTCCAAAGTTGCCAGGTGTAACTTTAACTTTTTATTTTTAAGAGAAACACAAGTCCAGGTTTTATAAAATCTTTCAATTTATATTGGCAACTATCTCTCAATAGTTGTTGGCAACTATTTTAAATATTAAAAAAAATATATTGGGTCGGCCCGGTGGCGCACTGCTACAGTGCGCTGCTTGGGAGCGCGGCGGCTCTCCCGCCAAGGGTTCGGATCCCACATGCAGACTGGCCGCTCACTGGCTGAGCGAGGTGTGGGCGCAACACCGAGGGTTGCAATCCCATTGCCGGTCCTGGTCCGGTACGGGCGCGACACTGAGGGTTGCGATCCGTTGCCGGTCATGAAAAAAGACAAAAAGGAAAAAAAAAAAAAATATATATATATATTGTCTAGGCCAATCAAAACACATCTGTAGATTAATAATTTGTGATCCTTGCTTTTCACTATGTCTCATGTAACTTTCTTCTCTAATGAGGCTGGCCAAATGAGGTCCAAGTGTATATAAAGTAGTCTAATAATATTAGAAAAAGGCCTGGTGTTACCACTTACTAGCTCTGTGATCTTGAGTTGGCCACCTAAACTCTCTGAACCTTTCTTAGCTCAGAGGGTATTTTTGAGTCTCGAATTTCACTATTTCAGAAGTGTTCTCTGATCATCCTACCCAAAATAGTCTCCCACCCCAATGACCTTGCTTTGTTTTTTCACACATCACTTATCACTAGCTGATATTATGTTATGTGTATATTTGTATATTTGTTTATCTGTCTTATTTGGTCCACTACCTAGTATAGTGCCATAAAGATATAATGATGAAAGAATGGATTGATGAAAGCATTTTATAGATTTTACAAATATATTACTTTAAAATCATACTTTAACTCATTCACTAATGTAGGAAGAACTCTGTTGGGATGAAAAGGAAGCAAAAGTGCCAACAGTGATATAAAATAATCTCACCTAACTTTTGGTTATGTCTAGGTTAGCTGATGAATTGCATATGCCGTCGCTCCCTGAAATGATGTTTGGAGACAATGTTTTAAGAATCCAGCATGGCTCTGGCTTTGGGATTGAGTTCAATGCTACAGATGCCTTAAGATGTGTGAACAACTACCAAGGAATGCTTAAAGTAGCTTGTGCTGAAGAATGGCAGGAAAGCAGGTGAGACTCTGTGCAGTTATGGGTTAAACAAAAAAGAAAAGAGTTGAAAGAAGTGTTCATTAATGGTATATATGTGTTCTGTTAGAATGAAGGACCAATGTTATTATTCAACTTGATAGTTGGATCATTATAGAATTCATTTTTCTTAGTCATAAAAAAATGTAGTTTAATTACCCCACTATTTGAATACTTGTTGAGTTATATTGAATTACAATTGAGCTGAGCTACGTAGGGTTTACTTTTTTTTTTTTTTCCTTTTTGTCTTTTTTACTGACCAGTAACGGGATCGCAACCCTCGGTGTCGCGCCCGTACCGGGGACCGGCAACGAGATCGTAACCCTCGGTGTTGTGCCCGCACCGCGCTCAGCCAGTGAGCGGGAACCGGTCTCCACATGGGATCCGAACCCTCAGCGGGAGCGCCACCACGCTCCCAAGCGGCGCACTCTCCAGTGCGCCACCGGGCAGGCCCAGGGTTTACTTTTTCAAGCCTCAGTGTTTCTTAGTGAAGAGGCGGTACATGGTACTTGAATGTTCCTGTTTAAAAAAATGTTTACTTATGATTTGCATTGAATATTTGAGGAACATTGAAATTAAGAAAAAAAATGTATTTTCTTTGATAATCAAATCAGCAATTATTTACTTTGTGCCTATTATGTACTAGGTACCTCGGATGATACAAAGAAATACAAGCCTTTAGATCATGTCCTCAAGCAGTGTACAGACTATTTGGAAAGACTGCATCAGCACGTGACAAATTAAATAAAAATAAGTGTGCAAAAAACCAGTAAGAAAGATCTTGTAGTAGTGAATTTGACAAGTATATGTATATTTTGTAGGATATTTTATTTGTAGCATCTAATTGGGTGTGATATATGAATACAGATAATTATATTCTGCATCACTGAATCTGACACTTCTCATTTTGGTATTTGAGGACGGAGGGCGAACACTCCAAAGAGGTTATTAAACCATACGATTGGACCTATACAACAGATTATAAGGGAACATTACTTGGAGAATCTCTTAAGTTAAAGGTAAATCTTCCTTTTTGCTTTTGTGAGTCATTAATTATCTTGGACAGTCTCAGCATTAGAACTTTCTAGTAATGGGTTATTTTTTGCCACTATTTTCATCCTACTTATTTTCTACTGAGGCAGTCTTCAGAACCTAATGTAAGGGGATTTTGCTTTTCATTTATCAGCAGAACATAAAAGAAGGCCATAGTGGAACAATATTTTTAAAAGTGGTTGGTAGCAATGATAAACTGCCTTAATGTTATCATTATCAATAAGCATTAAATGTGTATCTGTCCTTGGTATTAAGTATTAATGTACTAGGTGATTTAGACAGAATCTGCTAGTTAGTAGCTTACAATTTTACAGATGGACAAATACGTGGGCAAACAGAACTTTTGGCCAGACAACTTAGGTTTGTGTCCTGCCTGCACTATGTATGAACCTGTATGACTTTAGGCAAGTTAATCTGAGTATTAGTTCTTTGTCAGTAAATTGGGTAAACAGAGATACTTACCTCACAGCACAGTTTTGATATGAAATAATTTATGGGATAGTTCTCAAATTCTAAGGCTCTGTGCACATTAGTATTAAGTTTCATCTGTGTAAGCTCTGCTTAAGAAGAGATTCATTTCATGGTAAGTGACACTGGGAAGGTGGAATTGGTAAGTCTTATACTGGGAGCTTAGCTGTATTTTAAAATCTTACAGTATGACTGAAATGAAACAAATATGGCTTCGGTTGCATGTCTCTAAATATCACAGACTATTACAGAGAACAAAATTAAAAGTAGTTATTGGAAACCCTATATCCTATGTTGGTGCTTAGGTAGAAATTTTTTTTTTGTCTTTTTTCGTGTCCAGCAACGGATCGCAACCCTCAGTGTCGCGCCCGTACCGGACCGAGACCGGCAACGGGATCGCAACCCTCAGTGTTGCGCCCGCACCTCGCTCAGCCAGTGAGCGGGAACCTGTCTGTATGTGGGATCCGAACCCTTGGCGGGAGCGCCGCCGCGCTCCCAAGCGGCGCACTGTAGCAGTGCGCCACCGGGCCGGCCCTAGGTAGAAATTTTAAGAGGATAGTGTTATATATGTTTTCCTTGTCTCTGCATAGATTTTTAGAGTCTCTGGAAGAAAGAAGTTCATAGCAGGAACTTAAGAATTCTTATCTTCAGTTTCTGCCACTCCTACATTCCAATCTTTAATAACTAATTTTCTGTGCTTCCATGACAAAAACATAGTTTTTGAGAGAACTTGTATCCATTCATTCATTCAGCAGATATTTCTTGAGCTTTTACTTTGTGCCAGGCACTAATTCTCAGAGTGTGGATATAGCAGAAAATAGACAAATTCCTCCTTTACAGTCTAATGGCAGAGCAAGATTATTTCAGTCTCTTATAGTACTTCATAGACTAGTGTTTTACCTCCTCTCTTCTGATTGAAAAAGTTTGCAGAGAGCATAGGTCATTTGATCATTTGATATTTCATTGCCAGGAGTGAGGAAATGGGAACTTGTTTTAAATCCATGCAATAATGATTATGACTTACTTTGTGGGCTTACATAGGAAAAACCTCCTGGAGGCTATGAGTTAGCATTGGCTTTGGCCAAGGAGCAAGAACCACAGTATTAGAAACAGGGTGTGTAAGAATAGTAGGAGGTGAAAGCATGTGTTCAGTACTCTCTTATTGATACTCTAACCTATAATGTAATTTATTCTAAGGTGTTGCTGATAAATATCAACGTGATCCCTTACTCATTGGTGGTAATGAGCTCAGGCTTTAGCAGAACACAGACCTGGGCTCAGATCCTAGCACAATCATTTACCAGCTTGGAAAAGCAATTTAGTCTTGCTGAGTCTTGTTTCTCACTTTGACAAATGGGATAATACCAGTTGTGAGTTAGTAAATAACATTACATATGTAGAGTGTTTAGAACGGTGTCTGTTATACAGTAAGATCTTAATAAATGGCAGCTGCTATTATGATAGAATCATATCTCAGATATCAGGGGAACCTAAGTTAATATTATTGAAATACCAAGAATAAAATTATATATATTGTCTAAATATTTATTCTTCCTTTATGGTCTAAACAGAGTTGAGGAATGTATTTCTTTATGGCTTTAAAAAATGGAATGACTGTTTTCCAGGCAAAATTGTTAGGGCTTTGTTGCTTAATTTTCAAAATAACCTTGTAGAATAGGTATTATTAGCCATATTTTGTAGGTAAAGAAATGTGTTCAAGATCTTTATATATAGTGTACTTTGTATAGTATACTTTATATATATATATAAAGTATACTATATATATATATATATATATATATTTTTTTTTTTTTTTTTTAAAGATGACCGGTAAGGGGATCTTAACCCTTAACGTGGTGTTGTCAGCACCACGCTCTCCCATGTGAGCTAGCCAGCCATCCCTATATAGGGATCCGAACCCGCGGCCCTGGTGCCATCACCACCACACTCTCCCAAGTGAGCCACAGGCCAGCCCTTACATAGTATACTTTATATAACACTTCTGAGAACACATGGCTGTAACATCATGCCGATACTATAGTTTATTGTTAAGATGTTTGTTAATGTGTAGCAGAGTACTTCCATAGGAACCTAGCTTGTTTTTTTTCAGATAGTATTCATTGAATTTTTAATTCTTTAATTCTTCATCACCTCCTCAAAACACTATTCAAAAGCCCATATATATATATATGTACACACACACACACACACACACACACACATACATATATATGAAGTACATGCCTGTGTAGGATAATATATTTTATATTGACAGTAAGAATGTCAAAGAATGAGGCATTAAAATGAAGCCTTTCCTTTGCTCTTAAATTCTTGCCTTTTAGTTGCTGGGGACTGCTCTTATGTGTGTATGTGTGTGTGTGTTAGTGTTTTCTCACGGTTTTGAGTTGTTTAACCTATTACTGTATGAGTCGGAGCATGGTGTAAGGAAAGAGAGCCATTCACAGATTTATACTGACCTGACTATATTCAAATCCAGCCTTGCCCTTTATTAGTTACATCACTTTAGCCACCTAAGATTATAGTACGAGAATGTGATGAGAATACAGATCAAACATCCAATGCTGTACCTAGTCCATAGTAACCTATCAATATATGGCCATTTTCTTCTTTACTTTTAAATAAATAAATTGATTCCATTCTACTTTCAGTTTCTATGAATTCATCTACTTTACCTCATATAAAAGGAATCATACATTATTTGTCTTTTTGGGACTGGTTTACTTCACTTAGCATAATGTCTGTCCTCAAGGTTCAACTACATTATAACATGCGGCAGATTCCCTTCTTTTTTAAGGCTGAATGATATAACATTGTGTATATATATATATATACCACATTTTGCTTATCCACTCATCTTTTAGTGGGCATTTGGGTTGCTTCTACCTCTTGGCTATTGTGAATAGTGCTGCTGTGAACATGGGTGTGCAAATATCTCTTCGAGATTCTACTTTCAGTTCTTTTGGATTTATACCCAGAAGTGGGATTGCTGGATGACATGGTAATTCTTTTTTTTTTTTGGCTGGCTGGAATAGGGACCTAAACCCTTGACCTTGATGTTATCAGCACCATGCTCTCCCAAGTGAGCTAAACAGGCAGTGGGTAATTCTATTTTTAATATTTTGAAGAATTGCCGTACTGTTTTCCATTAGTGGTTGCACAATTTTACATTTCTACCAGCAGTGCACAAAGGTTCCAGTTTTTCCACATCCTCACCAATACTTTTTATTTTCGTTGTTTGTTTTGGTAGTAGCCAAGCACTTGTTGTTTGGGAATAGCCAAATACTTGTTGTTTGCTTTTAGTAGTAGCCATCCTAATGAGTGTGAGATAATGTCTCATTGTGGCTTTTTTGTTTTTGTTTTTTATTAAAAAATAATTTTTTTTTTATTATGTTTGTCATTGTGGTTTTGATTTGCATTTCCCTAATGATTAGTGATGTTGAACATCTTTTCATATGCTTTCCGGCCATTTGTGTATCATCTTTAATATCTTCAGCTTTTTTTTTTTCCCTTTTTGTCTTTTTTACTGACCGGTAACGGGATCGCAACCCTCGGTGTCACGCCCGTACCAGGGACTGGCAATGGGATCGCAACCCTCGGTGTTGCGCCCGCACCGCGCTCAGCCAGTGAGCGGGAATCGGTCTCCACATGGGATCCGAACCCTCGGCGGGAGTGCCACCGCGCTCCCAAGCGGTGCACTCTCCAGTGCGCCACCAGGCCGGCCCAATCTTCAGCTTTTAAAAGTAAATTTAGGGGGAATATATGCTAACATAAATATTGGAAATGAATGGAGTTTATAGATTAAAGGCAGAAGAAACTATACATAAGTACTGTACACTAGTTGATAAAGGTGTTTTCCACATTGGTATGGGTTAACAATTCTGATACTGTTATACATGTATACAGGAACTGAACAATTAAGTTAATGGATAGGAATGGTAGAAGCCAGGTTTCTCACTGTTGGAGTGGAAACTTACAGATCAGCAAGGGGAAGAGGCTACGATGATCCATGTGGTAATGGATTAAGTTAGACATCAGTAAGAACTCATATTTGACTTCATATAGGGAAAGATGGTAACATATAGAAATATTTATAGATGTGTGTATATACACAGATTAGTATACACATATATTTAACTCTTGTCAATTTCAACAAGTGAAATTTATTAAAAATTTTTGAAGATTGTCACTGTGTCATGAAAATTTGTTAATGGAAAGCAAGATAAATGAAACAATATTTATTTATTTATTTATTTATTTTTACAGCCCCTTCTGCACAGTGCCCACTCTGTCACCCCATGCTGCACTTCATTATTTGAATAGTATTTATTTCTTGAACTTGTTGGAAATATTGCTCTATAAAAGCTTATTCTCCTACCAGGCAGGAATTATCTTCTCTTTTTATTTTAATCCTAAGCAATAATTGCATACTCTGCTCTTGGTAAATTTTCTGGAGTTGATTGACTAATTCGGGACATTT